GTAAGTGTGCTGATGGGTTGCTGCTGCAGCTGATGCGGTTGTGTAACCAGGCTGCATACTCTAGTGCATAAGGCCAAAACTTAGAAGAAAGGCTGGCCCCGGTAGTCATTGCACGCACTCGTTCTATGAGTGTGCGGTTAACCCGTTCAGCGACTCCATTCTGCTGCGGCGTGTGTGGTAAGGACGTTTGGTGATTGATACCGTGAGAACTCAGGTAATCCGTGAATGCGTTTGACGTATACTCCCCCCCATTGTCCGTGCGCAAGGCAGCTAGCGGCGTCTTGGGCATCTTGGTCTTCATCTCACGGTGCCAAGCCAAGAAAACTGCAGCCATGTCAGACCGGCGAGCCAACGGCGCCACCCACAGGTAGTTGGTGTAGTCGTCCTTGAGCGTCAGCACGTAGCGAAGTGAGGGGTGAGCGTCACCCAAGTCCATGATGTCGCTATGCACGAGCTCCAAAGGTCGAGTTGTGCGCTTGTCACCACCTGTGGGAAATGGGGCCTTACTTGTTGAGAGATTAACGAGAACGAACGAGTAGATTAAGCTAGGGCCTAGGCTTAGTAGCCTAGGCCCAACTAGAGTGTCGAGCAGGTTTCTCCTAGGGTGAGTATCGAGAGAGTTGGAAGAGAAGTTGGGAGAATGATGTCTTCACTATAGGGTTCGAAGTACATATAGCAAAGGAAACACATAAGGTGCACCACCAAACAAAGTTTAAATAACTACACTAACTACAGCTACAGGCAGTTACAAATATAAGTTTTGACACTCCCCCATAACTGCCTGCAGCAGGAGTATGTGCAGAATACAACCTGCAGGTGTACACATGCAAAATAATAAAAAGCAAGCAACAGCAGGTAATGCAGGCGCGCTGACACTAGCTGGTCACCCCCTCCATCTCCTCACCCTCCTCCTTCCCCTCCCCCACACTGCTGCAGAAGCAGCAGAGAAGGGGGGAAGAGAGGAGAGGTGGAGGGACGGCTGCTTGTTGCCTCACACCCGCCACCCCGGTACCACTCCCCCTGCTCCCCCACATCCTCACACCCTCCCCCCCAGTGGCAGCTGCAACGGTGGGACTGAAAGAAGGAGGAGGGAAAGGGAAAGAGTTGACCCAACACTCCAACACCCGCCACCCCCATACCCTCCTCCCCACGGCTGCAGGGAGACAAAGGAGGAGGGGGGGTGGGCGGGAAGAAAGCCGCAGAGCGGCTAAACGGTGTCGGCGCAGATAGGTCAGGGGCGGCTTCAGGGAGAGCAGGGGCGGAAAGGCCCGTCGCGTGCCACGGGGCGCACGACGGGTAAGTTAAGAGAAAGGGCCCGATTGTGTGCCTCGGGGCGCACGACGAGCAGGGCACCGTCGCGTGCCACGGGGCGCACGACGGGCAGGTAAAGGGCACCGTCGCGTGCCACGGGGCGCGCGACGGGCAGAAAAGGCGTCACACGCCAACCGGGGGCGGGACAAGGAAAAAATCGTCACGCGCCCTAGGCGCGCGACCGGAAAATCTTAGCGGAAGCGTAGGGCGGGCCCACAGGCCAGGACGTAACTCGCTCAGATAGCATGTTGAGAGATTAACGAGAACGAACGAGTAGATTAAGCTAGGGCCTAGGCTTAGTAGCCTAGGCCCAACTAGAGTGTCGAGCAGGTTTCTCCTAGGGTGAGTATCGAGAGAGTTGGAAGAGAAGTTGGGAGAATGATGTCTTCACTATAGGGTTCGAAGTACATATAGCAAAGGAAACACATAAGGTGCACCACCAAACAAAGTTTAAATAACTACACTAACTACAGCTACAGGCAGTTACAAATATAAGTTTTGACATTACTCATCTTCCCTCGAAGACATGAGTCACACGGGGGTTTGAGAGGGTTAGTCTTGTCGGATATGGTGAGTCCTTCAACATCACCATTTTGAAATGTTGCATCCATGGATGTGTATGATGGGTGACCCAAGCGCTTGTGGGCCATGCGGTATGTGATGGATGCATGCGCTGAAAGTGGATTCAGCCCTTTATGACCATGATCATGCGATGCGGCTTCCTCATAGTAATGGTCAGATCCATGGGCAGATGCAGGTGCAGGCTCATACTGCACCATGAGCACACCATGCATGATCATTCCAACCCCAATGACTACATGCTCATCTTCAACCGCCATAGTAATCTCCGTGCGTCCGTCATTATGAGTGCGAATCCGAGCTCCTTTCGTGTGCAGCTGGCAATAGGAGAGTAGGTTGGACTTCAAGCCAGGTACGTAGAGCACATCCGTGTAGCGCACTATTGTTCCATCGAGTGCCGTTGCTCGGATTGTTCCCGCCATCGAGCTCAACAGGTGGCTCCCGTCAGCAAGCTCCACGTAAATAGGTTCGTCCAGCTTCTCTAGACTCTCAAACCAATCCTTTTCTGAAGTCATGTGTTGGCTGCATCCGCTGTCCAGCAACCACAGCGACCCTCCGGCTGCTGGTAACATTGCTTGTGACGACCGAACCGTTGCAACGCATGTAACGATGCGTTTGTTGTCTCCCCCCGCTGCCCCTTGCTGTTTTGACGCTTGGTTGTCACGTTTGGGGCTTTCACTCCTTCGAGGCGAGGACGAACGGCTATTCCAGGTGCGCTGGTTTGTCCTCCCTCTGTTTTGTGGTTCCCACCCTGGTGGTGACCAACCCGGGGGCGCCTTAGGACATTTGTAGAACGGGTGGCCAGATTCCTTGCAGTACCAACACACAAGGTTGGAGCGCCCTCCCCTTCCTTCGTTGGCCTTGAGTTTCTCCCCAACCGCATTCTGTCCTCATGTTGCCGCATTTTGGTTGCCCTTTGTCTCGGTCCTCTCTTTTGCTGGTGAAGTATCTCCACGTGCTTGACCAGCCATACGGGGAGGACGTTTGTCACGGTTGGTCTTGCTGATGAGGTCTTGGTAGCGTTGTTCCTGAATCATCATTCGCTGTCCGAGATGTCGTGTAGCATTGCTGAATGCCTCAGCTCCTCCCAATGAGGCGGCAGCCCGGTAATCAGATTTAACGTGAACGAATCTTCATCCACCATCTTTCCCGCCATTGCTAGCTTGTCTCGAATTGCAGTTGCCCGGTTGATGTATTCCTCCACCCTTTCTTGGCTCCCCATCTTCAGGTTGTCCAATTGCCTTTGGAGAGACGCCTTTGCTACCGAATCCTTCGCCTGGTAAGTCTCCATCAGGTACTCCCATGCTTCGAATGCCGGACTGTATGACTCTTGGAACACGTCCAGCTGTAGTTGAATTGTTGCGCTTACGCTATGTAGAAGCACCCAAAACGCCAGCGTAGCACGTTGTGAGTAATCTGCTTGCAAAGCTTCCAGCTGTTCCATTGCATCTCGCATTTCTCCATTCGCCATTGTCACTGGGTATTGTAGTGTCACGAAAAACTCCCACAGATTTGTCACGCGCGCATTCATGCGAAATCGAAGAGCCCACTCTCGAAAGTTAGTGCCGTCGAACGGGGTTGTTGTGAACGCCTTGTCCACCGTGGCTCCCACCATTTTGCGTGACAGTCTGTCTTTATCTCCTTCGGTGTACTCGCGAGGAGACGGGTCGAAGAGCGTAGGCACGGTAGATGGTCGAGGTAGTTGCACCGTGCGTTGTGTCCCTTCACGTTCCACCACCTCCACTTGGTCACGTCGCATAACTCCACTTGATTGCATCCCGTGCCCCATGCGCCCGATGCTTCCTGCAGGTACAGCTTCGGGTTGAGACCATTGCGCACGAGGGGGTACGACGTTGCCATAAAGGTGAGATCTGCCCATTATGGGAACTCCAATGGGATGGGTGTTAGTGGCAAGTCGACGCAGTGGGGGAGCACCAATAGTGTAGGATTCGAATCCCCCACCCTCCATGCCCATATGACTGCTTCTACCGCTCCCTTCACCAATTTGCCCTCTCATATTTCTTCCCATGTCAATCCCATCACCATGTTCTCTCACATCCGTTCCACTCCCGTACTCATCATCCCTCCCCGTTGCTTCCCTTCGCATGGTTGATTGAGGTTCGGGGTGGGAGCTCCCCTTTCCTTGGAAGGATGCATCCCTCCCTTGGGATGACTCTCCTCCTTGGGGTAGGCTTCCTTCCCCGTCACCTTCAATTCCTGCATCCACATTTGAAGCGCGGGTTTGGTTAGTACGCGGAGTGCTTGCATGAGAATGTCCACGGATAGATGGGTTGTTGGAATCTCGAACTTGGGCTGCCATGTTAAATTTTGCTCTGAGTGACGCTTGGAGTGTCGGTGGTGCTCTTGCAATCATGATTTCCATGTGCTCGTGTTGAGCCAAGATTGCTTCTTCGAACGCCTCGTATCCAGCATCAACTTCCTCGTCGAAGTGCGCCATGATGTTGATCAAATCGTACACCAAGTGTGCGCTAAATGCGCGGTTGGACACGGAAGCGAACACCAGGTACACACTAGCGTAGACCGGGTGTGCGGTACTCTGACTGTATGCAGACACCTATACGTAGTAAATGTCAGTAAACTTCTGAACCAAATTTGGCAGCATGCCCCCTAGAGTAGCTCTGATACCATGCTAGAAAGGCATGATGCCGGCGTTGCGGAAGCTAGATTGTAGAAAGAGCAAGACTGGAAGACTTGTACCGAAAGTGATTGAAGCGGAATGAGAGAAATGGAATTGATTGATTGTGAAACCACACAGCAAGGAATTTATCCTGTCAGCTACCCTGCCCATACCCATCCATGCACACCAATAATTGTGCCACCAATAATGGTGACTCCAATACAGGAATACCAATAATTCTACCCCCAGACCTCTAGACTCCAATAATTCTAGCCCTACAATTATTGTACAATTATTGTAGGCCCTGAAGTCTTGTACGGAGGACTACAGTAAAATCTAGCAACATAAATGTTTCGTTATATGTTATATTTCTCAACAGCTAGTAGTTGTAGCTTGTCAGCAACAGCGGTGCCCCTCACAAACCACACGAAAGTAGAAACCCCCTAGAGTGGTACAATGCTCCCCTTGCTTCTCAGGGTTCAGGTTGAGGGGCAGAAGAGTTGACTAGAAGCCGTAGCTTGTCAGCAACAGTGGTGTCCCGCACAAACCACACGTGGGACTCGCCGGGCGGCACTAGAGTTTGGCAGTGTGCGTTGACCGGGTTGACCACTCCAGAAAAATGGAAATGCCGTAGCTCCGTTGCTGCGTTGAGCACTACTCCGCCCTTCTGTGGCTCCCGTGCGATGTGGATTGACATAACCTCCGTCTGAAGGGGAATGGGGGTGACAGGCACGGGTGACAAGCAGGGGGGTGACAGGCAAGGGGGTGATGGGTGATTGGCCGGGATGCACTCAGCACCACTTATCACCACTCAGCACCACTCAGCGCCACGCAGCACCACGCAGCATCTGCTAGGAGGGTGAGAGGGCGTCTCACCTTGCGCGGGTTGACAATCAGTTTCCGATGGCCCCGCCAGTCCTCACACAGCTCTAACTCCATCCGCTGTCCCAAACCCGAGACGAGGCTTCTCAGAGGAAGCACTGGAGAGTGAGGGAATGAGGCACCTAGGAGGGAAGAGCCTGTGAGCGCGTCTCACCTTGCGCGGGTTGACAATCAGTTTCCGGTGGCCGCGCCAGTCCTCACACAGGTCTGAGTCGATCCGCTGCCCCTCGGCCCTGTCGCGCAAGCACCACACGTCTGGGTGCCGGAACACCATTCGCGATAGCAGCTGCACGGCACGTCTCTTCGCCTCCGTCCCTGCAGCTTCATCCCACTGCGTCTCACCACCCTCCGTGCCATTCCCTGCTGCTCCCAGTGCTGTCTCCTCATGCCTACTTCTGGCGTTCACTGCCGCTCCAGCCCCCCGGGTATCACCACCACCACCACCACCACCACCACCACCAGCAGCCTCCACTGCAGCAGACCCACCACCCACACCACCACCAGAGTCAGCAGGCTCCACCGTAGCAGCCTCAGCAGGTGCGGGTGCGTCCTCCCCCCCTTCCCCTTCGCACACAGAGGGCTTGACGGCGAAAGCGCCGTGGGAGAGCCAGGGGGCGTGGGCGTGCGCGGCGAGCAGCGAGGGCAGGGAGTGCGGCGGGACGGGCGCGAGGTACTCGTCTGTGTCGTGCAGAGTGACCCAGCGGGATGTGAAGAGCGACCGGTATATGCAGTCGTTGCTGGCTAGGGTCTGGTGGGAAGGAGGGGGTGTATAAGGGAAGAAGAGGTGTGTGTGGAATTAGGTGCTAGACTAGGCGTGCACATGTCTCAGCACTTTGAGAGGAACTCGTCTGTGTCGTGGAGAGTCACCCAGCGCGAGGTGAAGAGCGAGCGGAATATGCAGTCGTTGCTTGCTAGGGCCTGGTGGGAGGGAGGGGGGAGTGAAGAAGACGTGCTGAATGCGGTACTCGATTCGCGGAATGAGGTACTGAGATCGCCCTGTGCCTTTGACAGCACGGGCAAGATGAATTCGTTGGTGTTGCGCAGTTTTTCTTGAGGCGCCTCAAGCAGTGTGCCTCATCAATGAAGCACTCGTTGCTGTCGAGCAGTGTGCCTCATCGAGAGGTGAAGAGTAACCGGAACATGCAGTCGCTGCCTGCTAGCGTGTGGTGGGAGACGTAATATATGCAAGGATTTAATCAATGTACGCATGTATGGAAATGTATTCATGGAAATGTGTACGTATGTATGTATGCATACATAAAGGTGTAAATGCTTGAAACGAAGCTCAAAACACCACCCCCCACCGACCTGGTGCTTGGTGATAAAGCTCAGCGCCCACTCCCCCGCATGAAACCCAAACCGCCGCTCTCCGGACACGTCTGTAACAGCAGCCATGCCGGCAGCAAAGTGCGGCGTGAAGGGCGCTGTGAGGGTGTGTATCGATCGACTCAAAACACATTTGGTGCTTGGTGTGAAGCACACCTGGTGCTTGGTGTGCAGCTCACCTGGTGCTTGGTTGTAAAGTAGAGCAACTCCACTCCCGCAACAAACCCAAAACGCCGCCCTGCCGACATGTCCGTAACAGCAGCAACACCCGCAGCAAAGTACGGCGTGAAGAGCGCCGTGAGGGCAGGAGTCCACGCCGCCATGTCGTAGAATATGAAGCGGGAGACGTTGGCATGCACGCGGTGGTACTCCGCCCATACCCACACCCTGCCCGCATCTAGCGTGCCGTAGAGCGGCTGTGAGCACCACGTGAGGTGGACTGGGAGGGAGGCGTCCGGTGGTGGTTCCAGAGGCTGCAGTTGGGGAGATGGAGGGGGAGGGGGAGGGGGAGGGGGAGGGGAGAGGGATGGGGATCGGGAGAGGAATCGGGAGACGTTGGCGTGCATGCGGCGGTAGTCCGCCGGTGCCCACACTGCCCTGGCGACTAACGTGCCGTAGAGCACGGCTGGCAGCACCAGTCTAGGTGCAAACCTGCTGTCCTCCAAAACATTATAGCTTCCTCCCCCTTATCCCACCTGCCCCGCATCCCACCTGCCCCGGGCGTTCGTTGAAGACGGCAGCTTCCACGCCATCCATAGTCATCACCAGGTAGCCGCCTGCCCGGGACGTGTTGCCCCACAGCTGGCAGAACGCCGCTAGCGAGTCAGTCTGTAAGGGGGATGAGGGAAGGGGTGTAGCGGAACGTGGTGTAGCGAAAAGGGGAGAGAGAGTCTGAGGGTAAAATTTTCTGGGTATTGAGTTGCTCTTTAGGGCGGACGGAGGTGTGGAGGTGAACAGAGGGAGGGGAAAGGGCTGGATAGAAGATTCGTGACTAGGCGAGTCAGTTTGAAACGAGGATGAGGGGAAAGGTGCGAGAGTGGTGTGAGATGAAGCACCTGAGTTTTGGGGTGCATGAAGTCTCTGTACCACACTGAACCGTTCACTCTGCTGCCGTCTCGCCCCACCCATCTGCAGCCCTCCCCGTCCGTCACCCACGTGAAATTGAGGCCGCTTATAGCGAGTACGACGAAGCGAGAGGGGCTGACGCGGTAGGCGCTGGGGGATGGAGAATTGAGATGAGAGAGGAGTAATAGGGGGGGGATGGAGGAGGGGAATGTGTCGGGTAGAGCAGAGGGGATGAGTGAGGGAGGAGGTTAAGATAAAGACATCACAAAACCCCCCCTATTAGATAGGTCAATATTTGGACCAATTTTGGTGTTTCCGTCCAAAATCGGGCCATTATTGGTCTCATTGTGTGGACCAATATTGGTGTAGTTGCTAAGATGAAGTTTGGGCTATGTTTGGCCAAACTTTAGATGAGTTTAAGGACCATTGTTTTACCAAATCTACTCTCAGCTTTAACCCAAGTTGGACCAAACATGGTCCCAAACTAGAGTTTGGTTGGGCCCAATACAAAACTGCCATTTGTATGAAATTTCATTTTAAAAACCATTTTTATTGCAAAAACATATTACAGCATAATGTACCTCCAGATATAGCAAAACAATACCGAACAACTGTATTGCTTCGACACTACCACATCCTTCTACTGATGGTGGGTTGGTTCTACTGATGATAAGAGCACTGCCACATCCTTCCCTGCTGCTCCGCACCTGTCCCCATGCTGCCACTGCTGCTCCGCACCTGTCCCCATGCTGCCCCTGCTGCTCCACACCTGTCCCCATGCTGCCACTGCTGCTCCGCACCTGTCCCCATGCTGCCACTGCTGCTCCGCACCTGTCCCGATGCTGCCACTGCTGCTCCGCACCTGTCCCCCTGCTGCCCCTGCTGCTCCGCACCTGTCCCCCTGCTGCCCCTGCTGCTCAGCACCTGTCCCCATGCTGCCGCTGCTGCTCCGCACCTGTCCCGTTGCTGCCACTGCTGCTCCGCATGTCCCCATGCTGCGGCTACTAGTTGTTACTGCCACTGCTACGCCCCTCCGCACCAGTCTCTGTGTTGCTCCTGCAGGTTGCTATTGCGACTGCTACGCTACTCCGCACCTGTCTCCGTGCTGCTCCTGCAGGTTGCTACTGCCACTGCTACGCCCTGCACCGATCCCCCTAGTGCTGCTGCTAACCTCCGTGATTACGGGTTTGGGGTGACAACCCGGGCTGGTGCAGGTCGTGCAGCCTGTGCAAAGAGGCATAGGGGACGGAAGGGGATGGAAGGAAGGGGACGGATGAGATAGGAGGAAGGGGACGGATGAGAAGGGAAGAAGGGGACGGATGAGATGGGAAGAAGGGGACGGATGAGATGGGAGGAAGGGGACGGATGAGATGGGAGGAAGGGGACGGATGAGATGGGAAGAGGGGGGAGGGATGAGATGGGAAGAAGGGGACGGATGAGATGGGAGGAAGGGGACGGATGAGATGGGAGGAAGGGGACGGATGAGATGGGAGGAATTCAGCAATGCTGGTGCCATAGCAAGATCTTGGTGCCACATAAGCAAAGTGTCGGTGCCATATTAGCAAGGTTTTGGTCCTAGGGATGACTTACCTGCACCCTGCTGACAAGGGTCTCCATGTCAGACGCGTCGATGTAGACGCCGTTGGGGAAGTTGAATGTGTTCGTGTTTTTGGCGTATGGGACACCATGGTCAATGACAGCGATCTCGACCTCCCGCTTCACACGGGTGCACATCTCCTCGTACTGGATCCGATTGTACTCCCACTTGCCACTCAACTTCCCATCAGGCGCGTTGTTGAGGATTGGCCACTCAAACTGTAGGAATGTGGTGGGTATGAGGTGGGAATGTAGTGGAATAAATGAACAGAAAAAGGTTAACACAACACTAAATCGCTCATCGCACACGTGGCAACAAACATAACACCTTGTCCATAAACTCACCGCATATAGGATCCAACCCAGCTGGCGGGTCTTAATCTTCTCAGAATTGACCCCACGACGCGCCAAAGCCAACTTGATGGACACCGAGAAGATGAGGCTGCCGAAAGGGATGAGGAGCTCCCGATGCCATGCCAGCCCCCTCTCCCCTGAAATGGGATTGCATGGTCATAGGAGACAAAGGGATGAAAGGTGGTGACATGATGGTGACTAGAGGGCAACCGAAATGGGCAACGTGGAACAAAGTAGTGCTTATAGAAATTATTGGTACACACATAACAACAACTACGGGATCAAAAGCTTCATACAAACTCACCATCCTTGTAACGTGCAATGAGCTCCTCATCCGTGTAGAACTCGAGTGGGGCAAGCAGATCTGCTGGTAACCTCCCCAAGTAGCACTTGTTCGCCTGCCGACCCAACGCCGTGAGTGCCACCTTTCTCATCCAGCCGTTGATAGAAGTCCTAGTTGAGGACAGCTGCTCGAAAAAGACCCCTCTGGTGCTGGCATCGTTGTGCTGAAAGAGCGCACGCAACGAGGCCAGAACCTGTGGCGACACAAACTCGCTAAACCCATGATCTAAGGCCTCTTCCGCAGATGGGTAGAACTGAATCATTGAAGCTTCAATGTTGAAGCAAAGATGTGTTGCTACACGCCTAGACAATTCCTGTAGATTGGAGGGGGATAGGGGAGGTGACAGATATGGAAGGCACGCGGTAAGGGTTTGCAAGTGGCTATTCGGGTTGAGGGTAGAGGGCAGGGAAGCAAGTGGGGAAGCAAGTGGGGTTTCGGGTTGATGTTAGAGGGGGCAGACAGAGCATAAGTCATAGTTTAGGTAAAGCCTCACCTCCCTAAACCTGGATGGGAAGCAAGTGGGGTTTCGGGTTGAGGGGAGAGTGGGCAGGCAAGCAGAGGGGAGTTGGGGTTTAGATAAAGCCTCACCTCCCTAGGCCTGTATTTAGGGTAGCAGGTGGGGTTTCGGGTTGAGGGGAGAGTGGGCAGGCAAGCAAGAGGGGAGTTGGGGTTTAGATAAAGCCTCACCTCCCTAGGCCTGTATTTAGGGTAGCAGGTGGGGTTTCGGGTTGAGGGGAGAGTGGGCAGGCAAGCAAGAGGGGAGTTGGGGTTAAGGTAAAGCCTCACCTCCCTATGCCTGGATGGGGAAGCAAGTGGGGTTTGGGGTTGAGGGGAGAGTGGGGAGGCAAGCAAAGGGGAGTTGGGGTTTAGGTAAAGCCTCACCTCCCTATGCCTGGATGGGGAAGCAAGCGGGGTTTGGGGTTGAGGGGAGAGTGGGCAGGCAAGCAGAGGGGAGTTGGGGTTTAGATAGAGCCTCATCTCCCTAGGCCTGTATTTAGGGTAGCAGGTGGGGTTTCGGGTTGAGGGGAGAGTGGGCAGGCAAGCAAGAGGGGAGTTGGGGTTTAGATAAAGCCCCCCTTCCCTAGGCCTGTATTTAGGGTAGCAGGTGGGGTTTAGGGTTGAGGGGAGAGTGGGCAGGCAGGTAGAGGGGAGTTGGGGTTAAGGTAAAGCCTCACCCCCCTAGGCTTGGATGGGGAAGCAAGTGGGGTTTGGGGTTGAGGAGAGAGTGGGCAGGCAAGCAGAGGGGAGTTGGGGTTTAGGTAAAGCATCACCTCCCTAAACCTGGATGGGAAGCAAGTGGGGTTTAGGGTTGAGGGGAGAGTGGGCAGGCAAGCATAGGGGAGTTGGGGTTTAGATAAAGCCTCACCTCCCTAGGCCTGGATTTAGGGTAGCAGGTGGGGTTTCGGGTTGAGGGCAGAGTGGGCAGGCAGGTAGAGGGGAGTTGGGGTTTAGGTAAAGCCTCACCTCCCTATGCCTGGATGGGGAAGCAAGCGGGGTTTGGGGTTGAGGGGAGAGTGGGCAGGCAAGCAGAGGGGAGTTGGGGTTTAGGTAAAGCCTCACCTCCCTATGCCTGGAAGGGGAAGCAAGTGGGGTTTGGGGTTGAGGGGAGAGTGGGCAGGCAAGCAGAGGGGAGTTGGGGTTTAGGTAAAGCCTCACCTCCCTATGCCTGGAAGGGGAAGCAAGTGGGGTTTGGGGTTGAGGGGAGAGTGGGCAGGCAAGCAGAGGGGAGTTGGGGTTTAGGTAAAGCATCACCTCCCTAAACCTGGATGGGAAGCAAGTGGGGTTTCGAGTTGAGGGGAGAGTGGGCAGGCAAGCAGAGGGGAGTTGGGGTTTAGATAAAGCCTCACCTCCTTAAACCTAGATGGGAAGCAAGTGGGGTTTAGGGTTGAGGGGAGAGTGGGCAGGCAGGTAGAGGGGAGTTGGGGTTAAGGTAAAGCCTCACCCCCCTAGGCTTGGATGGGGAAGCAAGTCAGGTTTGGGGTTGAGGGGAGAGTGGGCAGGCAAGCAGAGGGGAGTTGGGGTTTAGGTAAAGCATCACCTCCCTAAACCTGGATGGGAAGCAAGTGGGGTTTAGAGTTGAGGGCAGAGTGGGCAGGCAAGCATAGGGGAGTTGGGGTTTAGATAAAGCCTCACCTCCCTAGGCCTGGATTTAGGGTAGCAGGTGGGGTTTCGGGTTGAGGGCAGAGTGGGCAGGCAGGTAGAGGGGAGTTGGGGTTTAGGTAAAGCCTCACCTCCCTATGCCTGGATGGGGAAGCAAGCGGGGTTTGGGTTTGAGGGGAGAGTGGGCAGGCAAGCAGAGGGGAGTTGGGGTTTAGATAAAGCCTCACCTCCCTAGGCCTGTATTTAGGGTAGCAGGTGTGGTTTCGGGTTGAGGGGAGAGTGGGCAGGCAAGCAGAGGGGAGTTGGGGTTTAGGTAAAGCCTCACCACCCTATGCCTGTATGGGGAAGCAAGCGGGGTTTGGGGTTGAGGGGAGAGTGGGCAGGCAAGCAGAGGGGAGTTGGGGTTTACATAAAGCCTCACCTCCCTAGGCCTGGGTGGGGAAGCAAGCGGGGTTTAATGTTGTGGTTAGGAGGTGCCTGGATGGCACAGAATGTGTCAGTGTTAAGGAAAAGCTTCAACTCTCTTGTTCCAAGCAGGGGAAGCAAATGGGGCTTATGATTGAGGGGAGAGGGGGCAGACAGGTCGAGCAACAATCTAGGAAACGCACACACAGTGTATCACAGGGAACGCACCTTGAAGTCGACTACCGCTTTGTACACGATTTCGCGATGGTTTGCTAGGGGACTATTGCTGGAGGGAAGGCCTTCCGACGAGCTGGTGCTCGGGCCAGAATGAGGAGGAGTTGCTGCAGGCGCTCCGATTGGGACGGATGGACCAGCACCCCGAAGTATGGCCGACAGCATCTCGGCGAACCTTGCCATCACGCGTCGCTCGAATTGGTCAAGCTCCACGTTTGATACACCACCATGCTCCTGGCGGCGATCACAGGATGCCGCCACAAACGGGGTTTTCTTGACAGGGACGAGTTCATAGCGCTTGGTGGCTTCAGTGATCACCTTCACCGGTGGTGCAGCTCCAGAGTACTGATTGGGAGCTGTTGATTGTATACGGGACGGAAGAGATGGAGGAAAGGTGACTGAGAGACGGGTCAGAGGTGACGGCAGGGATGGGTTGAAGGGGACGGCAGGGATGGGATGATGGGGACGGCAGGGATGGGATGAATGTGACGGCAGGGATGGGATGAAGGTGACGGCAGGGATGGGATGAAGGTGACGGCAGGGATGGGATGAAGGGGACGGCAGGGATGGGATGAAGGTGACGGCAGGGATGGGATGACGGTGACGGCATGGATGGGAGGAAAGCGACGGCAGGGAAGGATGGAAAGCGACGTGACATCAGCAAGCATGCCACGAATAAAAAGTGGTACCATCCCGCAGTGCTATACAATGCGGCAAAAGTCTGACCTTTGGTTTTTGTGTTGGCCTCCTTAGAGGTCGGTTTAGCCCCAGCGCCTGCCTTGGCCTTTACGCCGCTGGTCCCAGCGCCTGCCTTGGCCTTTACCCCGCTGGTCCCAGCGCCTGCCTTGGCCTTTACCCCGCTTGCCCCAGCGCCTGCCTTGGCCTTTACCCCGCTTGCCCCAGCGCCTGCCTTGGCCTTTCCCCCGCTGGTCCCAGCGCCTGCTGCCGTAGGAGTTGACTTCGGTTTGGCCGACACTTCACCGGTGTTCTGCTTTTTCTGCGCACCGCCAACCACCAAGGCGAACTCCCGTTTCGACTTCCCACCGAGAATACTATCGGTCGCCAGAACTTTATCCTTTCCCTTAGCCGATGTGACTGCATCTTTCCCTCGCGGTGGCTTAGCAGGAACCTTAGAGGGTTCTGAACGCGGAAGACGTTTCACACCCTTTCTAGCAGGCTTCGAGCTGACAACGGGTTCCTTGATCTCATCGAGTGCCTTCAGCTTCCCAAGCAGCATAGCACGTTCCTCAGCCACAGCCTCATCCTCCATGTCTTCGTCATCAGCGTCACCCTGCTCTTCCAGCATCTCGTCAAAGCTACCCTTTCTTGTGATTTGAGGCTTGTGCGCATCCGCACCTTCCCCCACTTCCGCCGAATCGCCTTTCTCACTTCCCTTCTCAGCCTCGTCCTCATCCCCCTGCCCTTCCTCAGACTCCTCGTCCTCCTCTTCCTCCACCTCGTCATCCTGCTCTTCCTCCGCCTCATCATCCTCCTCTTCCTCCGCCTCGTCACCCTCCTCTTCCTCTGCCTCGTCACCCTCCTCTTCCTCCGCCTCGTCACCCTCCTCTTCCTCCGCCTCGTCACCCTCCTCTTCATCCGCCTTCTCTTCAGCATCGTCCTCCGCCAAGTCTTCCTCTTCCGGCTCGTCGCCGGCCTCGTCTACTGCCTCGTCCACCTCGTTTTCGCCCACGTCACCCGACTTGCCGTTGGCCTCAGCTTCGTCCTCGTGTTTCTGGTTGTCCACATCCTCGCCATCAAGGTTGTTCCCGACATACTTAACAGGATCAGCACCTTCTTCGGTAGCATCCGCCCCTTCCTCAAACCACACTTTCGCCTTTCGAGGGCGGCTGGACTTGCGAACCTCGCCACCAGGAGGGCCGTCACCGCTAGATGTCCGGGGTTTGGGTGCAGCCTCCGTGCTCTTCTTCTTCGTACCATTCTGCACCTTGCCTGGACTTTGCACGGGGCCACCCGTGGCTGTGTTTTTCTTGGTCACCGCCTTCGAGACCTGCAGTTTAGTCGACATGTTGCGCAATAGCCCCGGGAAAGATGATAGGACGTTAGAAATCCGGAACTGCAGGGACTAATTGTAGCGGAAGAGGGGATCGGTACTTACTACGTTTATAATGGACCGTTTTATATCAGGATATGTATCGCTTAAACGACCAAGGAACTCGATGAAGAGACGTACCTTTGAGCGATTCGGTCGCGGTCACGATACGGGTCGCCAAGTAGCACGATTCCGGAACGGCTACACTCATGAAGGGTCGACGCGGCACGCTAACGATGGGGTGGTGGATGGCGTGAGCGGCGCCGCGAGTTGCCATGAATGGAGGCGGTGGTGAGTGAGATTATGGAGCTCTCACGGTACTGTCACGGCTGAGGGTAAGACAGTGAGATGCACATCGATACGTGCAACTATGCGCGGCCGTCTATGCGGACCGACGGTAAGATAATGAGAGCGCGACGTCGCGGATATTAGGCACTGAAAACCTGCGCCGTGTTGCTGATTGAGGGGAGCATGAGTAAGTCGCTGAAAAAAGAGGGGGGAAAGGTGACCGGACCTAAGCCAACGGGAAGGAGTTGGTGTTCCTGCGTCGTGACTGCTATCACGAGCGGTAGCTTGAGACCACAGCATCGTGTGACACGATGCTCGCTGAGACTCTGCCAGGCGTTACCGTGGGCTGTGCAACGAGGTTCACGCGCTCATGTTGGTTTTGTACAAGACGACAAGTGCGACCTTGCCCACCTGACAGCATTGCGGTTTACAGCGTGGCAATTCCACACTGTTTAGTTCTGTTGTTTTCGAATCTTGTAGAATATTTTGCCACGGAATTTTTATTTGTTACAGTAGGAGCGTTTGGGAGTCCGTCTCGCCAACATTGTAGTATTAGGTGAGTAACAACGGTTGAGTATGAGGATCCTAGTTAGGCCCTGTTTTAGTTAAGTCGAGTGTTTCACGCTGTTTCGAGTGATGCCTTGTTTCGGGTGTTTCGAGTACTGGCATGTCCTCCGAATGAAAAAAAAAAAAAGCCACGACAATAAAATAAGGATAGACTGAGTGTGGTGAAGCAGGTTCACCGTACTGTACGGTTGCACCAGGCTTGGCACATTTATTCGCGCAGCCCGTAGCACCTCCAAAATATCGAGCTTAGACGGAAGTCATCGGTTGGATGAACAAATGGCTGCTTCCCGGCCCCACCGAAACTTAGCGCTATACGTGCAACATCCGCGTTTTTCACTGGGTAAAATTTTACAGACAACATTAGATGGAAACGACTACCAACTGGCCACGTGGGAAGTTTCGCCAACTTCACAAAACTCCAAATGCGTTGCAGTTGTCCTTGTCTTGTTTCTGTCGAAAGCTCCCGTGGCGTTTTCGCCACACCATTTTGCTGCCCAACACGCGATGATTCTTCGCATGCCCCAAGTACAGTATTCATAAGAGTGGCTGAGGCTGCCGCAGTAGTCGCAGTGCTCAGTTAAAATATCGCTGGAACACAACATCTACGCTAGCTACAGGTGGTCATAAGGCAGTCTTGTCATTTTAAACAACAACAAACAAAACCAGTTGGCAACGGGTGACTGTGAACACTTTGAGGTAAAATCAAAGCACCAATCAAAACGAGACTGCTCTGACAGGCAGCATAGTTCATACCATCATCCTTCCAAGTGGGTTCGATAGAAATGATACATTATGGGATCATTCTACAGAGACACTACACTCTCAAGTAGCCAAGGGACCATTCATAAAATGGCATAGTCTTAGATGTAACTAAAGGATGGATATGTTGAAGGTTCTTTCGTCACGGTCTGCATCGCGACGTCCCTGACAGCAATGTTTGGATTCTAGGGTAAGTGATATGTAATAGAGAGGGGGAATGACTCTGTAACCATGATTTCCTACCCTATACATTTTGGACAGAGCGCATTCTTTGTGGAGTGAATTTAAGTAGTGTTGTGAACCTTCCATTCCATTTTCAGCTCCTACGGAGCACTCTAGGTGGGTTGGTTGGATGATGAGCTAGTGTAGCTAATGATGCTACCGAATGCTGTTCTGTACAAGTTCTGGGCAGGCTTATGGGGAAATGCGCCGATTGATAGCCTAGACATTTTGGATTGGGATGCACTCCTGGGAGGATCTTAGTAATGGTATCATGATCCTCCCATCCCAAAATGGGCCTCGTCGGAGCACGTTTGGTTGGTCGTTCGACAAACGTGCTACCGAATGCTGTTCTGTACAAGTTCTGGGCAGGCTTATGGGGAAATGCGCCGATTGATAGCCTAGACATTTTGGATTGGGATGCACTCCTGGGAGGATCTTATTAATGGTATCATGATGCTCCCTTCCTAAAATGGGCCTCGTCGGAGCACGTTTGCTTGGTCGTTCGACAAACGTGCTACCGAATGCTGTTCTGTACAAGTTCTGGGCAGGCTTATGGGGAAATGCGCCGATTGATAGCCTAGACATTTTGGATTGGGATGCACTCCTGGGAGGATCTTAGTAATGGTATCATGATCCTCCCATCCCCCTACGTTGACGCGGTTCCCCCTACGGGGCGAACATCGTCAGTGGCATGTGGATCTTCAGGGTGAAGCGGCCGCCGGGCTCTCCACCTGTCTTCAAGGCACGGTACGTCGCTCGTGGCTTCAGTCAGCGGCAGGGAGTTGACTACTTTCAGACCTTCTCTCCCACCCCGAAGATGACTACTCTTCGGGTGCTGCTGCACATAGCCGCTCAGCGCGACTACGAGCTTCACTCTCTCGACTTCAGCACTGCGTTCTTGCAGGGTAGCCTGCACGAGGAGATCTGGCTTCGCCGTCCACCTGGCTTCACTGGGACTTTCCCTCCTTGCACCCAGTGGAGCCTCCGACGGCCAGTCTACGGTCTCCGCCAGGCACCGCGTGAGTGGCACGACACACTGAGGACTACGCTTGCGGCCCTTGGGTTTGCTCCTTCTACTGCTGACCCGTCGCTGTTTCTTCGCACCGACACTTCCCTGCCGCCGTTCTACATCCTCGTGTACGTTGACGACTTGGTCTTTGCCATAGCGGACACTGCTGGACTCGCCTACGTGAAGTCCGAGCTGCTGAAGAGACACACGTGCACAGACCTGGGTGAACTGCGCAGCTACCTTGGCTTGCAGATCACTCGGGACAGAGCACGCCGCACCATTACCTTGACTCAGTCACACATGGTGCAGCAGGTCCTTCAGCGCTTCGGCTTCACGTACTCCTCGCCTCAGGCCACTCCTCTGCCTACTCGCCACTCACTCTCAGCTCTGCCTTCGGATGAGTCCGTAGAGTCGAGTGGTCCGTATGCAGAGCTTGTTGGCTGCCTCATGTACCTGATGACCTGCACACGACCTGACCTTGCATACCCTCTGAGCATTCTTGCACGCTATGTTGCTCCTGGGAGACACCGACCAGAGCACATGGCTGCAGCGAAGAGGGTATTGCGCTACCTGTGCAGTACGTCGGGCATGGGGCTAGTGCTTGGAGGGCGGAGTCCAGTGGTCCTTACCGGCCACGCGGACGCTTCTTGGGCTGACGACCAGGCTACGCAGCGGTCGTCACAGGGTTACACCTTCAGCCTTGGTTCCGGCTCTGTCTCGTGGCGGTCTACTCGCTCGTCTTCGGTTCTCGGCTCCAGTTGTGAGGCTGAGATCTACGCCGGGGCCATGGCTGCACAGGAGCTTCGCTGGCTCACCTACCTGCTGACTGACCTTGGAGAGCCGCCTCGTTCTCCTCCAGTGCTGTACGTAGACAACAAGGCCATGCTGGCCTTGTGTCGAGAGCAGCGCTTGGAGCACAGAACGAAGCACATTGCTCTCCGCTACTTCCTTGCTCGTGAGCTGCAGCAGCGTGGTCAGTTGCGACTTGCGTACGTGGCCTCTGAGGCCAACACTGCTGATGTGTTCACCAAGGCACTCGCGCCTTGTGACCATCAGCGCTTTTGCACCCAGCTGGGTCTTGTGCCTGTCTTGCCTCACTTGCTCTCCTCTTGACTTTACTTGTACTGTGACATATATATACCTGCTCTTGCTTGTCTAGTTTTATATATATATGTCTGTACTCCTGCATGTGAACTGGCCTCTGGCCCTGCTCTTGTGCTCGGACTGTGTGGTGACTTTGTGATCCACCCTGAGCTTGCTCTGCTTTGCTTTACTTGACTGGTCTTGTGACCCCTTGTTCTCCCCCACTTTGCCTATGGGGGTGTGTCAGATTTATATGACATATTTGCTGTAGGCTATAGTGGGGTAGCACATATGGGGTACAGGGTTTCTAGGGTTGTATTTGTACCCAATCTTTCCTTAGTCATTTCATTCCTGTTCATTCTTTTCACACGTCATATGGGGCAAGGCCAGATCTCCTATCCTATAACATATTAGTCCAATAGTCAGTAGTCAGTAGGGTCGGTTAAATGAAACCATGGTTACATAATTTTTTATAGTGGGTTCAGTTAATATCATTGTTCAAATCTATGAATGGCACATTTTGTTATGCATACGTCTTATCATTTGTGTGCACAGTGTTGTGTCTAAATCGTGAATAGCATTGCAGTCGACTTTCGAAAGTTTGAAGTCGTGGTATGAGGCACAGGGAATCAGGCGCTGCACGCACACACCAACCCTATCCTGAAGGCTGCAAACCCTAATTTCGTCAAGGTTCCCGATCCGCCTCCTCGCGATTCGTGTATTGCACCTCATATCGTGCCCCCAGGTCGCGCCGTCAGCGACTCGTCGTAATCACATGGCTGTCGTGCCTTTGGGTAGCTCGCACTGTAGCGTTATTCCCCGTCACGATGTCCATCCGCTACCTTATATTGAATGGCCTTCTCGCTATTCATCGACTCTTTGTAGCGGGTGCATATTTAAACGCCACGGCGATATGCAGAGGCAAAGGAACGACGGACTAATGTCGCGCTGCCATGGATCGTTCTAGTCCTGTTCGGTGTGCACACTGTGGACGAGAGTTTTCAGACTGTTTCGTCCTAGGAAGGCACCGGGCTGGCAACACACCCTGCAACCCCAACTCTGCAGAGCATCGCGCAGGCAGTGGTCATAGGCGCCCTAACATAGCATACATTGTGCCTGCAGCGCTCCCGCACTTCGTCAGACATGGCAGTTCCGCGTCTCAAGATGCAACTCAAGAGACACTGCCAACATCGTCTAGTGGCGTGGGCTGTGAGAGTCGTGTTGATCCTGAAGGATCTTCTCCACACCCCTCAACGCCCCAGTCGTCCAGCCAAGGGGCGGAGCAGCCCCCAACCACATGTCCAGATAATCCTGGATTCGGTTCTGCTGCCAGGCCTTCGTTTCCCGATGGCAGCGACATCCATCCCGCTTTGATACACCTGTTGGAGCAACTCGATTCGCTGAATGGCGGCATGGGCTTATCGAACATGGATACTAACAAGGTGCTGCAGCTAATTATCCATCCAGAGTTGGCCCCGCTGCTGGTAGAGGGGAATGTCCGTAGCTTCCGTGATGTGGAGATGCTACAGAAGGAATATCTGGCTGACACGGGACGTGGATTCGAGTCGACCACATTTTATGTGGAGGGCTTTCCACCGCAAGTGATGCTTCACCGCGATCCACTGAGGGTGAGTTTGCTGACGTAGTTTCGGGTACCCGGGATGAAACTGAAGGGCATTGGCTTGACTACATGTCCTGCGGCATCATGCGTCACTCTCATATTGTGTAGGGTGCTAACCGGCCTATGTACGTGCTGTATATGATATTGCAGGCCCTGGCGGATATGTTTAGGCACAAGCACAATGCGCCTGGCTTCAGAATGGGACCGAGGAGAGACAAGGACAGCGAGAGTGGGCATCGGGCATATTCCACTGCAGAAACCGGCACATGGTGGCAAGAAGCACAGGTGAGGGCTATTGATAGCTTTTTGCAGTTGCGAGAGATGGTGAGTGATGGGACGGGAGGTGCAGAGATTGTGAGTGCAAGGTGATGGGTAGTTTACACTCCCCTCACATCACTCGCACCTTGCATATGTTACACACCTACCACTCACCATGCATGGTCCCAGCTTTCAGCTGTTGTGCCCTTTTCGAGTCAGCAATGTTTACCGCGCAGAGACATTGCCTTTCCCCTCGACCCAATCTATCCATTCTTTGCGTTATGTGCAGGAATTCATTGGCATGGACAAGATCGTTGCGGCGCTGATACTGTACAGTGACGTCACGCACTTGAGCAACAACGGGAGGAAGAAGGCGCACCCGGTCATGATGACACTGGGGAATATTGCATTCCCCAAACGCTGGGGCCGGCCCGGGCACTCCCTGTTGGCGCTGTTACCCATCCCACCCTCGAACATGCCGTCGCACTTGAAGGTGGAGCTCTACAACGCGTGTATTGCTAAGCTACTTGAGCCACTTCTCTGCCTTAAAGACAAGTGAGTGGTGCAAATGCTGGTGTGTACCGAATCTTTATCTTATTGGTGAGTCATGCCCCATAAAAGGAGTGCGGTGCTTGGAAGTAATGAATATTGTTAACCAGCCTGTGTTTCCACCCTGTTTCATGGCTGCTCGAAAACTGTGCAGTGGTGTCATGCTGCTGGACTCAGAGGGCATCGAGCGATGGGTCGTTCCTTTGCTGTACGCTTGGGCTTGTGACTATCCCGAGTCCGGGAAACTGACATGCACCAAATCTGGCCAGGGCTGCATGAAGCCGTGCAGCCTCTGCTATGTCGACAGGGTACGTCAACATGTACACTCGGGGTGGGGATGTGCTGGGATGGGAGGTGCTGGAATGGGGATGGCAAGGATGGGCGGTGGTGGGATGGGGAGTGCTGGGAGGGGGGGGGGGGTGCTGGGATGGTGAGTGCTGGGATGGTGAGTGATGGGATGGTGAGTGATGGGAGGGTGAGTGCTGGGATGGTGAGTGCTGGGATGGTGAGTGCTGGGATGGTGAGTGATGGGATGGTGAGTGATGGGATGGTGAGTGCTGGGATGGTGAGTGATGGGATGGTGAGTGATGGGATGGTGAGTGCTGGGATGGTGAGTGCTGGGATGGTGAGTGCTGGGATGGTGAGTGCTGGGATGGTGAGTGATAGGGATGGTGAGTGCTGGGATGGTGAGTGATGGGATGGTGAGTGATGGGATGGTGAGTGCTGGGATGGTGAGTGCTGGGATGGTGAGTGCTGGGATGGTGAGTGATGGGATGGTGAGTGATGGGAGGGTGAGTGCTGGGATGGTGAGTGCTGGGATGGTGAGTGCTGGGATGGTGAGTGATGGGATGGTGAGTGATGGGATGGTGAGTGCTGGGATGGTGAGTGATGGGATGGTGAGTGATGGGATGGTGAGTGCTGGGATGGTGAGTGCTGGGATGGTGAGTGCTGGGATGGTGAGTGCTGGGATGGTGAGTGATAGGGATGGTGAGTGCTGGGATGGTGAGTGATGGGATGGTGAGTGATGGGATGGTGAGTGCTGGGATGGTGAGTGCTGGGATGGTGAGTGCTGGGATGGTGAGTGCTGGGATGGTGAGTGATAGGGATGGTGAGTGCTGGGATGGTGAGTGCTGGGATGGTGAGTGATAGGGATGGTGAGTGCATGGTGAGTGCTGGGATGGTGAGTGCTGGGATGGTGAGTGCTGGGATGGTGAGTGCTGGGATGGTGAGTGCTGGGATGGTGAGTGCTGGGATGGTAAGTGCTGGGATGGTGAGTGCTGGGATGGTAAGTGCTGGGATGGTGAGCAGCCCCCAACCACATGTCCACATGTCTGTGTATGTGTGTGTCTAATGGTCTCTCTTGCTCGTCCCCTTTATGCTAAAAATTCCAACGCCCACCACAGGAAAGCCTGTCATCTGTGGAGCTACTCAACAACGTTCGCACACCCGCACAACAGCAGTGGGTTAGAGACGAGGCAGCTGGAGTCGCTGCCGGAGCGGATGACAATCCGCTGAAGTTGTACTCAACGTTCGACATCGACGTATGTATTTGATGCCAGCTCGTAGGCTCATAGACACAGCAACCTCTGGTGTCTATTGGTGTCAAGTGTTTCCCTAACCATCGCATTCCCTGCTGCGCTGTACCACAAGCACAGTGTGCTTTATGGAAGTGGCAGGTTGGATCATTGCCGTGGGGAAATCCTTTTCTCGCTGTCATGGCGGACATCATGCACCAGGCAGACCTGGGGATGCTGGACCACATCGTGGTGTGCATCCGCGCCCAACACCCAACGATGATGAAGATTCTGGATTTGTGAGTACCCCTTGGACCACCCGCCTGGAGATGCCCCTTCAAGAAGCCATCGTTACAATGTTGGCATGTCAAGCCTACATTTGTGAGCACATGGTAGTGTGTCAGCTCAACTTTATTCCATCCTGATCTGCCGCCCCCCATATCCGAAATCTTTCCATCCCACCATACGCAGGCGCCTTCTACGGCTCACCCTGAAAACACGGATCAACTCTTTGCGTTTTCCGAGGAGCGAATACTTCAAAACCGGGGCACAAGTCGCAGCTTTTGAACATCGATCGGTCATGCAGGTATGATGCTTAGAGGCCTTGCAGACCATGGAGAGGTGGAAGGGGGAGGGTGGGAACAGTGGGCCGAGCTGGGCAGGGACGGAAGAGGAAGGGGAGAGAAGATGGGCTGGTGGAGAAGGCACTGCTGTAAACTCGCTTGAAGTCATTCATGGGAAGAAGCTCCTTCAATCTTTTCTCTCACCTTTCCTACACACCATGCTGCATGCATCCAGGTGTTGATCTTTTTGGTGGCTGACGTTGTCGGCTCGCCCCAGCTGGAGGCCATCAGAGCATACCTTGACTGGTATCTCTGCTGCAACGCCGCCTCTCACACCGAGAGAAGTCTTTCCGAACTACAAGCCAAATCAACAAGGTACCTCACCAAACGAAACAACCTAAACCATCTAACTCCCCTAGTGATTCCATCCCTTACAAATTGAACGCTTATCCATATACTCCTTCATTTATTCATGCTCCCACCCATCCCAGGCTGGTGAAACTACTCACGGCTGCCTTCCCCGAGCAGAAATCAAGGTGGAACCTCATCAAAACACACTTGATGACTCATTTCATCCCTGGCATTCGACGAGCTGGGAATGTGCAAGAGTACAGCACCAACCTCTTCGAACACCTGCATAGCACCCTGCTGAAGCAAATCTACAGGAGATCGAATAAGCGGAAAGTGGACACGCAGATCATGAAGCACCACGAGATGAAGCTTGACTCCATCAGCAACGTGGCCACCGACCAAGGCGTGCAAACGGCTATGCAAAAGGTAGGTGCTGTGAGGGGAGGCGCTGAGATGGTGAGTGCGATGAGGGGAGGTGCTGAGATGGTGAGTGCGGTGAGGGGAGGTGCCGAGATGGTGAGTGATGTGAGGGGAGGTGCTGAGATGGTGAGTGCTGTGAGGGGAGGCGCTGAGATGGTGAGTGCTGTGAGGGGAGGTGCTGAGATGGTGAGTGCTGTGAGGGGAGGTGCTGAGATGGTGAGTGCTGTGAGGGGAGGCACTGAGATGGTGAGTGCTGTGAGGGGAGGTGCTGAGATGGTGAGTGCTGTGAGGGGAGGTGCTGAGATGGTGAGTGCTGTGAGAGGAGGTGCTGAGATGGTGAGTGCTGTGAGGGGAGGCGCTGAGATGGTGAGTGCTGTGTGGGGAGGTGCTGAGATGGTGAGTGCTGTGAGGGGAGGCGCTGAGATGGTGAGTGCTGTGAGGGGAGGTGCTGAGATGGTGAGTGCTGTGAGGGGAGGTGCTGAGATGGTGAGTGCTGTGAGGGGAGGCACTGAGATGGTGAGTGCTGTGAGGGGAGGTGCTGAGATGGTGAGTGCTGTGAGGGGAGGTGCTGAGATGGTGAGTTCTGTGAGAGGAGGTGCTGAGATGGTGAGTGCTGTGAGGGGAGGCGCTGAGATGGTGAGTGCTGTGTGGGGAGGTGCTGAGATGGTGAGTGCCGTGAGGGGAGGTGCTGAGATGGTGAGTGCTGTGAGGGGAGGCACTGAGATGGTGAGTGCTGTGAGGGGAGGTGCTGAGATGGTGAGTGCTGTGAGGGGAGGTGCTGAGATGGTGAGTGCTGTGAGGGGAGGTGCTGAGATGGTGAGTGCTGTGAGGGGAGGTGCTGAGATGGTGAGTGCGGTGAGGGGAGGTGCTGAGATAGTGAGTGCTGTGAGGGGAGGTGCTGAGATAGTGAGTGCTGTGAGGGGAGGTGCTGAGATGGTGAGTGCTGTGAGGGGAGGTGCTGAGATGGTGAGTGCTGTGAGGGGAGGTGCTGAGATGGTGAGTGCTGTGAGGGGAGGTGCTGAGATGGTGAGTGCTGTGAGGGGAGGTGCTGAGATGGTGAGTGCTGTGAGGGGAGGTGCTGAGATGGTGAGTGCTGTGAGAGGAGGTGCTGAGATGGTGAGTGCTGTGAGGGGAGGCGCTGAGATGGTGAGTGCTGTGTGGGGAGGTGCTGAGATGGTGAGTGCCGTGAGGGGAGGTGCTGAGATGGTGAGTGCTGTGAGGGGAGGCACTGAGATGGTGAGTGCTGTGAGGGGAGGTGCTGAGATGGTGAGTGCTGTGAGGGGAGGTGCTGAGATGGTGAGTGCTGTGAGGGGAGGTGCTGAGATGGTGAGTGCTGTGAGGGGAGGTGCTGAGATGGTGAGTGCTGTGAGGGGAGGTGCTGAGATGGTGAGTGCTGTGAGGGGAGGCGCTGAGATGGTGAGTGCTGTGAGGGGAGGTGCTGAGATGGTGAGTGCTGTGAGGGGAGGTGCTGAGATGGTGAGTGCTGTGAGAGGAGGTGCTGAGATGGTGAGTGCTGTGAGGGGAGGTGCTGAGATGGTGAGTGCTGTGAGGGGAGGTGCTGAGATGGTGAGTGCTGTGAGGGGAGGTGCTGAGATGGTGAGTGCTGTGAGGGGAGGCACTGAGATGGTGAGTGCTGTGAGGGGAGGTGCTGAGATGGTGAGTGCTGTGAGGGGAGGTGCTGAGATGGTGAGTGCGGTGAGGGGAGGTGCTGAGATGGTGAGTGCTGTGAGGGGAGGTGCTGAGATGGTGAGTGCTGTGAGGGGAGGTGCTGAGATGGTGAGTGCTGTGAGGGGAGGTGCTGAGATGGTGAGTGCTGTGAGGGGAGGCGCTGAGATGGTGAGTTCTGTGAGGGGAGGTGCTGAGATGGTGAGTGCTGTGAGGGGAGGTGCTGAGATGGTGAGTGCTGTGAGGGGAGGTGCTGAGATGGTGAGTGCTGTGAGGGGAGGTGCTGAGATGGTGAGTGCTGTGAGGGGAGGTGCTGAGATGGTGAGTGCTGTGAGGGGAGGCGCTGAGATGGTGAGTGCTGTGAGGGAAGGTGCTGAGATGGTGAGTGCTGTGAGGGGAGGTGCTGAGATGGTGAGTGCTGTGAGGGGAGGTGCTGAGATGGTGAGTGCTGTGAGGGGAGGCGCTGAGATGGTGAGTGCTGTGAGGGGAGGTGCTGAGATGGTGAGTGCTGTGATGTGAGGGGAGGGTGAGCGCTGAGATGGGAGGGTGAGTGCTGAGATGGTGAGTGCGGTGATGGGAGGGTGAGTGCTGAGATGGTGAATGCGGTGAGTAGGAGTGCCTGGCGGGACAGCTCGGGCTGGGTGGCATGGAAAGTTTGCCGGCAGGTCCTTGGTGGGTAGCAGGGGAAGAGTTAGCTCAAGGCAGGGGAGGGGGCAGTGAAAGAGGAAGTGCAGGGCAGGGAGGGGAGCAAACGAAGGGGGAGAATGGTGTGCTTTTTTTCCAATCTCTGCCTTTTCTGACAAGTGCCAGGCCATCGAGGATGGAGCTCGGGTGATGGTGAAGGAGTCCTACTTCTTCCACGTGAAACCCGATGACGTCACTCCCATTGCCAACTGGTTTGTCCGTGAGTGGGCGAAGCTCCACAGCGAGGCACACCATGCCTTTGCGGGTGCATTGCTTCGACGCCAGCTGAGGCCAACGAAAGTTCGTGTAAGTGGTGACAATGGTGACATGAAGCAGATACCATATGTAACTGAATGTTACTTTGTAATGATTTGTGTCTCTTACTGGTTGCAGGCTCACACAACACTTGCCATCCCTGCTGCAGAAGATGCGAGTTTCGCCCGTGTAGCACATTTCGTGAAAGCAACCCCGCTGTCTCACTCTAGGCCGTGGTTCTCTGATGTTGCCATCGTGGGAACAACAGCGACAGGTGAAGAGACGGAGTGGTACGGAAGGCTCTTGTTGATGTTCCATACGAAAGAGAGAGGGTGCACGAAGGAGTGGGCATATGTGAAGTACTGGTCAAGCGCAGGCGAGGATGCAAAAACAGGGTGCAAACGTCTTAGGTGGGCAACTGGGGTATCGCGCTACTCAGTGATTGACACTGAAAGCATACTGCGCCAGGTGCACATTATCAAGTCTTACCACTTCGAAAATGCATTCTATCTTAACAAGTACATGCTAAATTAGATATAAATCCTACGCGCATCTGTACTTTTTCATAGGCAACCAAACCTGTTTTGTATTAAGAGGCAAGATTACATGCAATAACAACTAATGACTGTACATGGTATAGATGTACATGCACATGTGATTGTTTAACCAGCAGCCTTTCAATATTATAAGACATAACTTTGACTTGATGTAAAATTTGTTTTCAAGAAACACTGTAGGCTCATCTTGGTCCATAATTACTCCTATGCGAGACCATTTTTGCAGGGCCCAAACGCACCCTATCGCCACGTCTCGTCGTGCGCCAAGCAAAGCTGTGGCTCGGTGACCCAGAAATATTTGCGGGAAACCAATGCACCCCATTCTCGAAACTGCTTTTTCAACCTGGTCAAAAGAGCACTGTACACCTGACATTGACCGAAATTGGGCCAATTTCGGTTCGCCGAGGCGCACAATGTCTCGCGAGTCGGTTCGGATGCGCGAAAGCAGATCGAAATCTGAGAATGACACATTTACGCTGGTGGTTGGGCGAAAAAGGTTGGACAACCCACGCAACCCAACTTCCGAAACCAATTCGACCCGTTTCCAAGCGATTCAAAAACGAGGGGTTTTTGTGATGGACGTAGGCAGGTGAGTCTGGTTATGTCCCACCTCGGCATACATAATTATGGCAGCAGGATTGGACGCAGCACCTGAACTCGTAGAGGAATCCTCGCTGCTGGTAGGTTCGTTGCCTCCACTGCCGCGCCTCCGTCTCAAGCGCACTCGCCACAGCCACGTCTGACTGATTCCGCCAGCGCCTCGCTTCCAGTGCCTCCGTGTAGCGCTGCCGGCCGCAAGGGCACGCACGCACAAAGACGCACACAGACGCACGCACAGTCAGGTACAGACAGAGGCACGAACGCAGAGAGCAACAAGAAGCGTGGGAGTGAAGTGAAGGGATATTAGGGAATTCTCAAAGTACTTTCGAAATGCGCTTTGAAAGAGAAGCGCGGAGGGGCGGGCCGCTCCAGCGGTCGTCCGCAAGCACCGTGCTTGTCACAGTGACTGTCACCCCCATCCAGTCACACCGCAAAACTGCATTATCCGCCACGCCGATAGTTGCGCCATCGCGCCATCACTCGCCGATAATTGCGCCATCGCGCCATCACGTACCGATAACTGCGCCAGATTCTGCACGTCACGCTCTTCGTTCCACTGTTCCTCCTCGCCGCTCTTCCAACTGCCATCTCCGCCGCTCGTCTCTCCGCCATCTCCGCCGCTCCCGCTTCGCGCATCGTGCGCTACAGCTACGGCGCCAAGTGCGAAGCAAGGGGCATTTCCGGTGCCGGCGGTGCTGTTTGAAGCGGCTTGGCGCGCAGCGGCGGAGGATGGAGAGGTGGAGGAGGAGAGGACGGAGGAGCGGAACCGGAGGAGCGGGGAGGAGTGGGAGAGGAGGAGCGGAGAGAAGAAAGGCGTCAATGCCGCGTCCTGGACCATGGCCTGATTGGCGAGAGACGGACGGGAAAAATAGGGGAATGCGTGGTTCTTTGAGTCCACTGGTAATCATTCTGGATTCTCAGACAGCGTCATGCGCCGAACTGGCGTGGCTGCACTATAGCCTAGAGAGGAAGAGGAAAGCGCAAACATTTCTGGAGTCCGGCGGCCTCAAGCGTGGTCTCCTCCATCGAGCGTGGGGATCCCCTCTGAGTGGAGGCGTGCGCTCGATGGGGGCGCTGATGTGCGCGTGAGCGCCTCTCGTCACAGTGGAGCAACGCATCGCCCGCCTGGCTATGTGGCACTGTCCCGGAAAAAAGTCGGGCTAGCGTGGCGTGTATAGAGATCGGTCTCAATCAGTGGCTTGTTCCTGGATCTATCCATTGCTTTTGAGTGACGCTTCAGCACGTACCCCGCACACTAGCAGCGTTAGCAGCGCGCCGAGCGTCGCGGTCGCGTGTACGGCCCACCTGTGCCGCGAGAGCTTAAATGGTGGACACGTCATCATCCTTCGATCCCAGGCCTGGGCTTTATGAATTCAGCCGAGGGAATGTGAGTGCTAGTACACACTAGTTAGTAGCGGCTCGAGTGTGAGTTAGTAACGGCTCGGGCATGAATAAATTGCCGTTACTAAGTTGATGCAAAGGGTGAATCACTCGTCAGCTGTTTACTGGAGGCACTGCCGTGTGTTCCTCCAGCCCCTCTGTCCTGATAGACTGCGAATGCATCAGCAGGTGCACGAGGAGACGAACTTATCAGGGCCAGACCACGCGAGCCGGCAGCACCGAATACCAGCCAGCAGCGGAACTTGGCCGTGCGCGCCTGACATCATGGTCGTCACGACAAGATGCGCGCCTGACATGGTCGTCACGACAAGATGCGCGCCTGACATGGTCGACACGGTACAGCGCGGCAAGATGCGCTTATCGGGATGGTTAGTCCTCGCGGTCGCGGAAGATCATGAGTCGTCTTGACGTGGCTTATGTGAGGCAGGCGGCTTGAAAACCACCAATAGTCGAGCATAACACAATCTCGTCGAAGGGGGGGCCACCACCTCACCACATCACACGGCATTCGCAATCGCACCCTAAACCCGAAATTTCCAACTTTCGGTTGTAGGGGGGGAAATTCGAAGGGGAAACTGCCTCGGAACCATCGTCATTTCCCTTCGCCCCCCCACCTCCCTCCCAACGGAGATGCCTGCAGAACGCAGCCATTCTATCACTCCAGGAAGGTGGGGGGAGGGGTGGGGGAAAGCTGGCTGGGGGGGGGGACTGTAGAGTGACTATTTCGCGGGTGTCGCGTCGGGGTGTATTTCTCGATGATCGAAGCGCGTGAATCGAAGAATCGCGCCTGCGTGATTTTGGCGGGTGTGGTTGCTGTTGATTTGTCATTGGTGCTGACGGATGGGTGGTTGCTGACATTGTCGCACGACAACGCACAAACCCTCAGAGTTTCGTCGCATACTCGGAATCGAGTACGGAACCACCATCGTGGTGGTGAGGCTGACTCCACAAATATAGCAGACAACTGTGATTGCAAAACACATGCTCAAATCTTACTATTTTCAGCATTTCTATAACAGCAGTCAAGCAACTACAGCCTTAGGCTAACGGAACGTTTTTTCAAGCAAGGGAGATACGCTTGTCATGGATCGGCAGAGGCTGCGGCATCTGGGCCTCGTGTGGGTGCGACTCTCCCTTGTAAACCTTGAGGTGTGTGAATAGGCGGCGACCCAACTGGTGTGGAAGGGACACAAAGCCAAAAGAAAACGATTTATCTATACTCAGCAGTAAGGAAAGAGACGAAGGTTACATCGAACACATTAGAAACCAGGTTTCATATAATCTTTAGTGAAACATATCATCTCATGCTCCATCTTTTGTATACCCCTTGCTGCAATTTCACAAAGTACCAATCATCATATGCTCCATTATCCAGCGCATCCAAAATCATTCCCAGTGTCTACCTCTCACCAAAGCATAACTATTCCCTTCCCGTGAAAAGCATGCCCCACACAACATGTTCCACACCCCCCAGCATGCATACACAGCATGTCCCACACAAAACGCTCAGGATGTTTTTCAAATTCGTAGCTCAAGCTGCGTTTCATCATGCCTCACCTCGCTGGCCCAACTGCCCTCAAACCTGTACCCTGGTACCCACCTGCCTGGGCTGCATGCCCCCCACGTGAACCTCCACTGATTTCTCCACTGATGCGGCTTTCTGCCTCTGTCATAATGCCAACCAGCCAAACCACCAAGCCAGCACCAAGCCCACGCCCAGGCCCCAGTCTCCAGGCAAGCAGCGCACCCGACCCTTGGGCAGTGCTCCGCACGGCATGCTCCACGATCCCGTCCAGGATGTGCCTCTATAATCGATCACAGTGTCCCAAGCCCGACCCCATTCCCGAGCCCAAAGCCCAGCCCCAGTCCCTCCCGCAAGCCACCAAGTCCTCAAGTCCCCAAGCCCACAGCGCACTCACCCGGCCCTTGGGCAGCATGCCCCGCACGGCGTGCTCCACGATGCGCTCGGGGATGCGCGCCTGCACCTGGTCGAACGTCTCCTCCGTCATGCCACCCGGCCGC